GGGCCCGCCTTAGTCAGGGCAGGTTTTTTGACCATTGGTGGGGGTTCGGGGAAAACCTGAAACTTTGGGGTCAAAAAACTTTGAACACCCCGCCTTGACTATATTATATCATAATACATATAAAATTGTTAATATATGCTAATGTATATTATATCATATTATATTATATTACATAATATAAAATAGTTTTAGGTAGGTTTCAAAAAAATAAAAAATATATAAAGCTACAAGTATATTTGATCGAATCTTTGGATCAGATTCGAATATACCTTGATTCAAATCTGATTCGATCCGTTTGCATCCCAAGATTAATTTTATATAGATATACATAAAAAACAAGTATTCACTAGAGTTCATGAACAGAATTATTAGTATTTGATCGAGGTGTGATTTTGGAACATTTGATTTTTTATATTGTTGGCTTACCCTTGATTCAAGCTCATCTAATGTCCTTTTTTTGACATTTTTACACCAAACAAAAGTTCATTAGTAAACAATCATTAAGGAGCTAGCCATGTTACCCTATAGAGAGGTCAGTAGCTTGTCCAAAGTAAAATATATATATATATATATATATATATATAGTAAAATAAAATAAAAGTTTTTATCTGAAAAAGAGGCCTGTTTGTTTACTTTTTACATGGCTACATGATGCAAGTTGTCAAGTAATCTACTTTGACAAATGACGCATAAAATTAATTCAAATGGAAGAATCGTTTTTTTATGCAAGCCAAACTAACCCCTCTTAATTAATGACCCCACTACTCTTACATATTGATGTGTCCCTTTGTCATCTAAGAGGTGCAGGACCCATTTTAAAGATAAAGTGGGTTGTTAAATACAAATCAAACCTACTTTGTTCTTCTCAATCAAATAAAGCTGTGTTTGTTTGGGATGTAAATCAGTATTAATGTAAAAGTCTACATTGGTTTGATTTTCTCGGTATTTACTTGTATTATAAATCAAGATCGATGTAAAATTCTACTTCAAATCAGGTTTATCAGCATTTGGATTATTTATATAAAACTCTATTCATAATAAAATTTTACATCGATAATTACATTTTCCAAAACTCAACGATTCAGAAATTTTAAACATCATTGTAAAACCGATAAACTTTTATACCAATGAAGTTTTACACCGCAAACAAGTGGGGACATTAAAGCAAATTAGGTCTGACTCTCCTTCAAATACGTGTCTAGACTCTCACTCTAAAAAGCTGATAAGTTTCAACTCAAAAGTCCCATTATCTCTGAAAATGAGTTGATTTCAAATTCAGACCAGGAAGACAGCTTATATCATTTAATAACAAATCGAATCTAGATTTAATTTCTTGACTTTCAGAAGAAAAATCAGCATATCCATGCAGTTCTATTGGATTATTTAATTATAAACAAATTTGATAAAATTAAAAAACTTGGCCCAAATGCTTCATGATTTAAAATATGTATAGAAGTTTCTCTTGAAGGGGCCCCACTCCTTAAATGGCTCAAGCTCAAGTTTAATGTATTACTATGCCAATTTAATTAATTTAATGTACTGTATGACAAAGGGTGCATTTAGTCTTTATAATTTAAGTGTGAATCCATAAGGAAGGCACCGTGTCTTCTAAGGATGCAATTTGGGCGGGCCCATTTGGGAATTTGTAACATTTGAATGGAGTTGGGGCTGATACAGTGTAAAATTTTCAAAACAGGTACCGATTTGCACCCTTAAAGGCTGCATTTGTTTGCGGTGTAAAACCTCATTGATGGAGTTTTACATTCAATCATTTGAGAATTCTGAACAGTTGAGCATAAAAAAATGTGATTATGAATGTAATTCTACATTAATTTTTATTGTACTACCTTATTATAAATGATATTTTATATCGATTTATGATGTAAAACTCTACTTCATTCAAACACCGACAATTCTGAACTAGTGATGATATTTTATATCTATCTTGATTTTACACTGTAAACAAACGTCGACAGAACCGAACCGGTGGTGAGATTTTACACCACAAACAAACACAGCCTAATGCCTTTTAGGGGGCTATTAACACATTCATCTGAACATGTGTATGAAATGGATTATGTAACCGATCACAAGTAAACATGCTAATGTTGCATACACATAGGTCCACATCACATATTGAGACGGAGAAAATTGCAGTGAGCAGCCTAGATCTGTTGCTGACATGTGTGTGAAATGGGTTATATAACCAAACACAAGTAAACATGCGAGTGTTCCATACACATAAGAATGACAACGGGTCGGGTCAGGTCAGGGTGGAGATCATATTCTCCGTCTCTAACCCTAATTTTGGAATAAACCCCCGTTCCTAGCCCCAACCCCCATCGGGGATAAAAATTGTCCTCCATCCCCGATCCCTGACGGGGACAAATTCTCCATGAGGGCCCGAGTCCCTGAAATTTTTTAATTAACAGTATTTTTGAAAAATGAATACAAATTTAAAATATAAATACTATTTTAAATATATTTTGATATATATATATATATATATATATATATAATACAAATAATATAAATAATATCATATATATAATATATATTTAATGTGAATAATATATTGGGGTTGGGGAAGGGCGGGGACCTCATTCCCCATCCCAAAAGACCCCGGTCAAGGATCCCTATTAATCCTCGTCCATATTCCTGTGCCGCCAAAACAATCCCCATCCCAATCTATTAGGTTGAGAGAGTCAGGTATTCCTCGAGATGGAGAAATTGCCATCCCTACATACACGTGAGACTCACAAGGGCCCACATGACATGTGGGTCAATCAGAATTTTAAGACGTGTTTGAAGAGAAAAAAAAATTCCCATAAAATGTGAAAATATCAATATCGGTTGATGTAATATTTTGAATTTATTACAAAAGCTGGTGCCTCCTAATTTCATTACAGGTTACATGTAACTATGGCCATAGTATATTTTCTTTTGTTTGGAAAGGTTTAAAGGCTGCAATTGACATTCCTTATTTTAAGTATTTATCTCTTTTTTGCAGTTAAAATGTTCATGTAAACACTGAGTTTTTAATAGTAAAAAAAAGATATATCCTTTAAAATAAGGAATGCCAAACACAACCTAATTTCCGTTCAACTGAACATAGATAGGTGTAAAATGCGTTAGGCCGCCCACAGGCTATAGTTCTGTGTCGTGCCAAGCACAGCCCGCACCCTCAGCCCAGGCTGGGCCTGGAGTAAGGTCCATGTGCCTGGCACGGCAAGTTACATAAGTTAATAAAACTAAGTCAAGAAAAACTGGATACTAGAATGGTACCTGATACATTCACACATATTGATCTTATGTTAAATCCAGATCTTAATCAAGGAAAAATATATGGTGCTAGAAAAGCTTAGACCAATCAAAGCACCCTATGAATTTTGATGAAAACCCACCCGATTGGTTACCATTTTTATGAGACCATTTGATTAGTTATAAGGTTTTTCATATCATGTCTTTATAGTATTATAGTTGAATTTCAATCAATTATATTAAAGTTTGTTTACTTTTCATTGGCCAAAATTTATTGTACAGATATGCCCTAATCATATATGAGGTTTTGGGAGGGGTGGAGTGGATGGGTCCTAACCCTTGGCATTGTTTTTTGCACAAATTGATTGTTCTCATACTCAAATCTACATTCTCATGCTTGACATCTTAAGATTTCACCGTTACAATGACACATCCCATTCTTGAAAAGTTAGCCCATTCACCAACTTTTAATATCTTTTCACATGGGATGTTCCCCTCCTGCTTTATATGGGATGTCTTTGTAGGGATGCAACTTGTACTGGATTCATCCAAACTCAATTCAAAAAAAAAAAGTCAGGTTGGATTGAAAACATAAATCCAAATTAATTTCAGGTTGTACTAAGGTTGAGGCGAAATAATTTCATATTTGTATACAAGATGCAAGGTTCAAAGTATCGATACATATCGATTTATATCGTATCAACAACTTTCCAATAAGTCTTCACAAAGAGTGTATTAGGGTTTTGACCAGTTCAAGAGATGAATATATGGATATTTTGAATCTTGTTTGTACGTACAAATATTATATAAATCTGAATTTATGTATGCATATATGTAATTATCTTTCAAAAAAAAAGTATACAATTGCATTCCGTAGCAATTTGATTGGGTGGGAATTAGGGTTGAGGGTTTGGGGTTGATCTTGATATGAGCACGCCAACATGGATCAAACTTGATCTTGATGATAGAGCACGTAATCAATCACGAATCAACACGTCAGTATTTCGTACACATGGGATCTGGAGTACATCTTGATTATCCCATAAAGAGAAAAAGAAAGGAAATGATTGAGAGAAAAGCAGCTGGTGAGACTGTAGAGTGCATATTTAAGGTTCATAATTTGAAAAGGACTTCACAAATTAACCCCTCTCTTCGGTCTACCGTCTTCAAAACCGTCCCAATACTCCACGATTTGCACAGCCATAAAAAATAAAAAATGCTCCACGATTTGCAAAACCAAACAAACAACCGAGAAACATGAAAGCTCTGCCGTGGGTCTCTCAAACCGCGTTTACACTGTGTGGATGGATTTTCGAAGAAATTGACTATAACAACATTGCTGCTAAATCAAGGTGAAAAATCAAAACAATTTTTATCGTTTTCAGGTGAAACTTCCCTTCCTCTACTCATAACTTGGCATCCATTAAAGAATAGTTTCAGACTGTAACAGTTTCGACTTGTCTGGGTTGACTCTTCTGTATATTACTTGAATTTTCTTCGTCTTTGTCTTCTGTTTTTATCTGGGTTTTCCTTTTTTTGGTTTCGAATTAATTTTCATCTGGCACTGCTCTTCTGAGCTTGGTCGGTTATGTTCATTTGATCCTGTTTTCACCTCTGGGTTAGTTTTAATGTTTTAGTACTTTTTTCTTGGATTTACGCTTTTTTGTTCCACTGCCATCTGGCTCTATCAGTCTGTTTTTTGTTTGTTTCCTCCGCTATTTATTCTACTCGTTTCTTTCTTTTGCTATCCGGGTTTCATTTTTCTTCTTCCCTTCTGGTTTTAGACTTTTTCTTTTCTTTTCTCGGTTCTTATCTCGTCGTTCCCTGCTGTCTTAGCCAATTTGCTTATTCTCGCTTCTGGACTTTCCATGGTAGGTTCTCTGGGTTTCCATTAGTTTTTCCTTCATTTGGATGGTTGTTTGATGGCAATAGTTAGCCGAATTCAGATGAAGGCTGTTTCATCAAAGCTGTTGCTTTGTTCTTCTTCATAAGTTGAGAGATCAGAGAAGACCAGCTCGAATGCTAAGAAGGATTGAATTGGAGGAATTTTTACGAGTTTTTCAGAATGAAGTGTTTCTTCTACTTCAAGGATAAACCAAAATCCAGTAAACAGAAGTCGGCTCCGGAGTTCAAAGATAGAAGCCAACCGGACAATTCTCAGAGGGGAGACAAATCTGCAGGTTCAGCCGCTTCCAGGCGGACCATTCCGGAGCTGTACGAAGAGAAGGCGCACAATTTGAGGGTCTTCTCGTTCTCGGAGCTCAGGAACGCGACCAATGATTTCAACAGGATGCTTAAGATTGGGGAAGGCGGGTTTGGAAGTGTCTATAAAGGCTTCATCGGGCCTCCTGATGGTCAGGGAGAAAAAACAGTGGTTGCTATAAAGAAGCTCAACAGAGAAGGCTTGCAGGTAAATGCATCTTTGATTTCTTTGCTTCTGCTGTTAAGTTAGAAAACTGAAACTTTCCTTGGTGTGCCTCTTGAGGCTGAAGTGGGCTGTTTAGGACTAATTTCTACTGAAATGAAAAGCTTCAGCTTTTATTGATGTCTTTGATCTCGGAGATGAATGCTTATTATCTTTTATCTTCTTCATGTAGCTTGCTTGCTTTTCGTTTTTTTAAGACCCAGAGCTTGGTTATGGATTCCTTGACAGACATGGATACAGTTGAAGCTTGCAAAATGTAACATGTTTACATATAGAGAAGGACAAATCAGAGCCTTTGGGCCACCTGATCCTTCCATTTTCCTGTTTCTGTTTTTTCCCCTATTCAAGTGAAATTCTGCCATTACTCCATGGTGTTCTTTGATGTTATCAGAGGTCCAGCTCTATTAAAACTATTCTTCAAATCATGGACAGATGCTCTGCTTCTTCCTATAGTTGCAGAGTTTTCTTTAAGTGCATTGACAGGACTAGGTCCAATCGACCAAGTTTGAGGCGGCATGTTATTTACATCTCATAAGAATAGAGTCTGTGAGTTTTAATTTGTTTTGACAGTACTAAGTTCCATTGAGGATACAAATACCCTAATAAGATATGGTTTACTTGAAACTTGAAATGATACCAAAATTTTGTTGCTGTTCAATTATTTCTTAAAAGAATTGATCGTAGAACCAGCCTACTTTGCCACAGCAGATTGTCCTGAAACATGATTACAGGATGTGGTTTACTCCATTACTTCCTAATAGAGGCATGATGATTTCTGAACTATATCCTTATTTTATATGAGCATTAGGAGTATATTTACTTTTTTTATTGAAGATCATTATGTTATTGATCTGGATGAGAAATAAGATAGACAAGTGTTAGATGTGGATTTAATATAACCATACTGGAGTAGCATGTTGCATTGCTAGGGCAGAGCCAGTATATCATGCACCTTAACTTTGGTTACTCCAAAATGGACTAATGGAGATCCATGGGTTTACCCTATCTGAGGAATCGCATTGTGAGCTTTGAAATTCACTTATTAAATAATGAAGAATGTAATACAAATTTGAGCATATAGCAATGGCATGTATGTAACAGGTATTTGTGTCACACATCTCATTACCTCTAGAAAACTCCAACCAAGATGTGTGCCACCAGTGCCAGTGGTGACTGCACTTCAATAAGAGAAAGCACAGAATGAATGTAGCAGCTCTTCATAATTCCTCAATTTGTGTTCTCATTGAATTCTTATAGTTAAGATTCCTTTTCCACACACTGTTGTTTTAGGATGACTGAATGAATTTTATTAGTTGTTAAGATAACCAATTTATAGGGGTGCAACTTGAGCAGTTGGGTCAGTTTAGCCCAAAAGAATTTTACATATTGATGGAACTTGGACACTGATCTTCTTACTAAGACTCTTCTTGTTTTTTCTTATCAAAATATTTATTTTCTTACCATTCTCTGCTTTCAGGGTCACAAACAATGGATGGCAGAAGTTCAATTTCTTGGTATTGTCGACCACCCAAATCTTGTAAAACTTATAGGATACTGTGCCATTGATGACGAAAGAGGGATCCAACGACTGCTGGTGTATGAGTTTATGCCTAATAAAAGCTTAGAAGATCATCTTTTCAGCAGGGCTTTGCCAGTTCTTCCCTGGCAAACAAGATTACAAATAGTCCTTGGTGCAGCTCAAGGATTGGTCTATCTGCATGAAGAATTGGAAGTTCAGGTTATTCTAAATCTTCACATTTAACATGAGTTGCTTTTGCATATTGCTTTTAAATGTGAACACCATGGGGCCCTCGGTTCAGGTCGTCTTTTTCTTCTTTTTTATTTTCTGATGGGGGCAGGGGGGACGGAATTCATAATCCATAACTAAATGACCCCAACTAGGACATTGTCATAATCCATAACTAAATGACCCCAACTAGGACATTGTCATAGGCTGATTCTAAACATTTGACAGATTTTTCTCTTTTTCTTATTACTTTGCTTCCGATACTATGACCCAAGGATTAAAATTTCGATACGTATCGGACCATATCAGCTGATAGTTATCATATCGGAAGCCTCCCTATATGCCCCTACAGGGGGTGTTTCGGGGTTTAACCCGGTTCAGGGGGTAGAAGGGCTAGACCGACCCCTCTGAATCAGGTTCACAAAAATAACTAAAGAAAGGGGGGAGAAAGGGCCGATACAGCCTGATACACCCTTACCGGCATATCGGGCTGTATCGATATTTTGAACCTTGCTACGATCAAACTTAATCCAATTAGAGGGTGATCGGAAACCATTCTAAGGCTGGAATTTGGTTTTGAGACAAAACACAGTGCATTGCTTGGGTAGGTTTGTCCCACCTGGGTTTTGAATCATCATATTAATGTTGATTTTAGATGAAAAATGACTAATGTTAGAAGGGACTAGAGATTCTATAAGACAGTATGGGAGACTCTAGAGGATAATATGACACTGAAAGAATGTTACAGTAGTATCCTAGAAATACTACCGTCAGTTGTCCGTCACTCACGCTGAAATGTATGAACATAAGCACCCTAGACTCTGTTAATTTTTCTAGCTGCTTGAATATGGTTATGGATTCTAGTTTTATGCTTATTAATGAATGTACTGTCGCAATATTGCAGGTGATATATCGGGATTTTAAATCCTCAAATGTGCTGTTGGATGGGAACTTCAAGCCAAAGCTGTCGGACTTCGGACTTGCGAGGGAGGGACCAACAGGTGAACGTACTCATGTCTCCACAGCGGTACGTATGATGTGCTCCATTCAGATTGTTTAATTCATATGCATTTCTTAAATAGGCTGAGGCGACAAGACATTAATCAGATCATCCAAATTTCCAGTGCTCATGAAAACTCTTCTTGGTGATCAGGTGGTTGGGACATATGGGTATGCAGCTCCAGAATATGTTGAGACTGGCCATCTCAGTATTATGAGTGACGTATGGAGTTTTGGTGTGGTACTATATGAGATCCTCACTGGAAGACGATCCTTGGAGAGGAACCGCCCGAAATCAGAGCAGAAGCTTCTGGAATGGGTGAGACAGTTCCCTGCAGACAGTAGAAGGTTTAACATGATTATGGACCCTCGGCTCCAAAACCAGTATTCTCTTAGTGCAGCAAAGATGATTTCCAAGTTGGCAGATAGTTGCCTTGTCAAGAATCGAAAAGAACGTCCAAATATGAGTCAAGTTGTAGAGAGCTTGAAGAAAGCAATCCAAGTTTCACAAGAGGAAAGATCTATTGAGAAGAAGGTTCCTCCTGGATATCCTCCAACTAGCCCTGTTTATTCTGGCAAGAAACCGGCTCAAATTGGTAGAAGGAAGTGACCCACCTAGCAAGACTAGGTGAGAATGCAATGTGGTTGGTAGAAGACAATGCAGAGGATTCAAATGCCCTAGTTTTTTTACTCTTCTTTCTTCTTCGGCCAGTCTACTAGCTTTGCTCGCATGGCCCAGATTAACCAAGTGGATCCACGATTTTCTTATTGGGGCATGTATATCAAATCCATCCAGATATGGGAATTTGGTTGTTACATCTTTCGCTTGGTCTGATGCATTTAGTTGATCCAGACACAGTCTCTCTGTATTCTTCTTCTTCTCAGTGAGAACCAGTAATGGAATAAAGCAGCTAGCAAGAAAGAAGAGTACGTGAAGGATAGTAACTGCACCAAACCAGTTCAGAGTCCTGCTATGATTGTCAATGGACTTGTCCTCAAGCTCTTTCTTGTACTAGTACGTGCAGTGTAACAATTTGTTTCCATTTTAATAATGGGTAAAGCAACATGCATTGTACACATCTTGGTTACTCGGTTTCTTATTATATAGTTGAGTAAATAATGAAAAAATTGGTTGGTTGGTGGAAAGAAATGAAAACATGATTTTTTTTTCTCTCTATTCCTGTTTATGGTAATCCATGCTTTTTAGATTTTACTGTCACAGGACCTAGATAAACTGATACACAACCCGGACAGGACACTTAATTGTTCACTGTGCAGCACCCTAAAAATTCCTTCAGAAGGCCAATGAGGCAAACTCCCCACGTTGTAAATGCTCTCATCCATCAAGAGGCGTGGCGGGAAGGTCCTAGGTTACCTGCTGGGCAGGTTTAACTGGAAGGTAACATAGAGTTAGTTGTATGAGTCTTGAAATTCTAATTACCTGATAAGTAGTAGACCTTGGGTTGGGCTTGGGCCATGTTCCGAGTGTTACAACTTCTACAACAGGTCAACAGGGCAACAGCTACCTGGCTGTTTTGATCTCTCTAGATCACTGTTTTCAAAACCGGACCGGACCGGACCGGAAAAACCGGGAACCGGTCACCGTTTTCCTCCAAAACCATTGATTTTGGTCAGAAAACTGCTGAACTGGCCGATTAACTGTTCGAACGGTTTTGACGGTTTTCCATTTTTTTTGTCAGAATAGGCCGGCCATTCAGGTCAAACAGTTGGACCGTTTGAACCGGTAACCGGACCCCTAACCGGTTCGTTTTTAAAAACCATGCTCTAGATTATCAATTAATGTTGATGGTCAAGTAAAACTTATTTTTCGCATCCCAGTTGGGTCTGATGTTGGCAGCTAATCTGCAAGAAATCAGTTTTTTGGTTGAGAGAGAGAGAGAGAGGCCCAAATTAGTTATTTAAGTTAAGATCCAGCATATCTATGGGCATGCTTATTTTTTGGTTGAAAGATAGCTTCAATCAGCAACGAAAAACCAGAAAAAAAGACATTAGACAACACAAAACAACAGACTATAAATACAAATTACAGACACAGACCAAAAGACCTAGGGAGAATTATCGTTCAACAAAAAACACCTTTTTCCACCAGACCTTTTTGAGCGGCAAGATCTGCTGCACGATTTTCACTTCTTTTCACATGGGAGAATTCAATCTCCTAACCCTTTGCTACCCTGAAAATGCTTGAGCTAACTTGCTGAGGAGAGCTTGCATAGCATCGGCCAAAACTAGCAGAAAAACAATGCCGCCTATTGCTATCACTCAAAACTGCCTTATCCTTAGTGATAAAAGCACCATCAACATTGATTTTGAACCAGTTCTACCTCGGATAGGGCACTTCTGGTGATTGCTTGATAACCCTGTCAGTCAACAGCAAAGAAGTAGGACGACAATCTATGAATACAGCATTATAGATTATGGCCCTGTGAGCAAAATAGATTATGGCATAAAGTGATAGCAATTAGCAATTATTCATGGCAGGGCATCCAATAGCTGGGAGGCAAGTCTTGACCCTAGGGCTTCACGTTCGTCACCTTAGAAGGCCATTTCCAAAAGTCACCCCTACTCTCCAACCGTTTCTCAGGTATAATGCTTTCTCCGTTAATAAAGTGTTGTTTTGGGAAGATATTTGGTTGGGGGATAAACCTTTAGTGGACAGGTTCCCTTCTTTGTACTCTCTTTCTTTGAATAAGGGGAAAGTGATTGCGTCCATTAATCCTAATGGAGATTCTTGGGAATTGGGTTTGAGGAGAGGCCTTATGGAAGCTGAAATGGGGGTAATGGATGAACTTCTTTCCCTTTTGAGTACTGTTTTTCTAGATGCTTCTTGTGAAGATAGTAGAATTTAGTCAACCTCGTCCTCCGGTCTATATTCGTGTTCCTCTCGTTTCAGTGCCCTCCTCCACTCTTCTTTTGCAGTTGTCTTTCCCAGCTATAGAAGTAGGGTGCAGTCCAATTCCTCCAAAAGTGAGGGCTTTTTGCTGGGAAGTAGCTCTGTCAAACATTAATACTTGTGATGTATTACAAAAAGGAAGGCCAAATTAATGCCTTTCCCCTTGCTTTGCTTGTGGTGAGACTTTTAGCACCTGTTAACTTCCTACACTTTTGTCTCATTTATTTGGGAGTGGTTTTCTTCTCTTCGGTTGTAGGTGGACACCCCCCTCCCCCCAATGTAGTAGGCCTGTTTGATGCAAGTTTCTTTAGACAACCCAAGAAAAGGGGAAGGATGTTATGGAAAGCCACGAGAGTTGTAGTCTTATGGTCTGCTTAGGAAGAAAGAAACAACAAAATTTTTCAAGGAAAAAGGAAATCAAGGGACGACTTGATTGATTGCATCACTATCAAAATAGTGCATTGGGTAAAAGTATATGAGTTATTTAAGAAATTCACAGTGGATGATATAATCATTAGACAGTGTATGCCCTTAGTTCCAATCAGCATGATGTACATTATGACATTTATTGTAAATGAATAAAGTACATATTTGATTCATGTTATTATGGTGTGTTTCTATATAATACCCTTAAACTTGACACATATGAGACTCATGTTAATTTAGAATCTTCACAGTCGTTGGATAGATTTTGAGAGATTTATCCTGCCAAGGTTGACACTGATGTTCCGCCAAGTTGGTTGGGGTGACTTATCTCAATTGCCAGGGTGAGACCTAAGGTGCATGTAGTATGGGTTTTCTTGAAACCCTAAACTGAACCGGACCAAGATTCCAGTATTGCCYTGGACCTTGGAGATAGATGGGAAAAACTGGAATGTTACACCTGACTCCTAGACTCGATTATGATATTGTACTAGGTGTCGGATTGGGCTGTCTTTGATATACCAATCAATGAGATTCTTAGAGGGGGTCAAAACCTGGGTATGTTGGGACAGTCCAAGAATTCATCTGAGTGGGTGATCATAGTGACAGGATCAACCCCTTTATCGGATAAACTGAATGATCAGGGATGCACTCTCTCTGATGGAAATCTAAACTACTAGCAGTTGATTTCAACCATTGAAATTTGGTTTTGCAAAATATATTTATATAGAGATATACATATATATATTATGGTTTCAAAATGTTTGCAAAAGGTTTTAATTCCCGGGATCCATGTAAGTAGAGAGTGCAGCACTGTACCTTGCAGCCGAGGAAAAGGTCATCTCTTGTCGGGCAGCGTTTGATCATTATGAGCTGAGAGGTTAACTGTAAGACCATTGAGGATTATACCTGATGGGCTAATCTAGCATCTGCCCACAGTCTTTGGGCCTTCATAAGATGGCTGGATCCAATGACCATTTAATGTAAATGTTGGGCCCATTAAGAGACCATAGTGATGGACTCAAGGGTTCACTATATTCAATAGTGAATTCGGCCAGGCCTTGTGACAGAGGCTAGGCTGAACCCATGTAGCTGATGTATAGATCAATGATAGGGTCCCACGCCATACAAAGAGAGCCAAGCTATCTAGCATTAAAGTGGAAGTGAGCCTGAAAGCTTAATGAGCCTAAAAACTCATTTCGAACTGGGTTAATTAGATTAATTAAATAGGGGCATATCTGGGATTTGGATCAACAGATAAGATAAGGAATTATCCTTATCACTTAAAGAGTCTAGATCCAAATAAAAGATTTGGTTCAAGAAACTCCTAATGAGATTAGGAAATTGTCTCTTTAAGGCTATAAATAAGAGAGCAAGGCGAACCTCCAAAACACACTCACTGAATACAGAGAGAAAAAAGCACAGTTAGACTAATCTTTCCTTCTGCTCTTCTTCTTCCTGCTCTTGCCGCCCTACCCTGTTCGATCTCCAATTCTTGGATTGGATCAAGATTCGATCTTGGTATTGTTTCTTGCCAGAATAAACAATTTAGAAGCTATGCTCACCGTCTCATTCGGTTCTTGCTGAAGAATCACTAGTTCTTGGTAAAGAACCACCTGCTGATCCTGCCTCATCCTAAGCTGTGTTATTTTCAGTGGAGGGAGGATTTGGTATACTCTTTGGGCGTGAACACCTACGTCGGGAGGAGCATTCTTGCGTGGATTCCATATCAGGTATATTCCTCCCTTAATTTGGTTTCAGATTTGGTCCGGTTTGGTTACAAGAACAAACCTTAAAAATGCAGTTTTCTAAATTGGAAATAGGATTCCCAGATAGGAGTAAATAAATTTTTTAAATTTCACCCAGCTTTCCTACAGGATTCGGCCATCCATATGATGAATCTCCCATCCCTTCAATAATCAGGGGCTGGAATACAGTAACAAACTCTTCAAGATATAGCCCAACAATTCAAGAGAGTTGGGCAGCCTCTTCACAACAAAAATAAAGTTCAATTTTGATGGAAGCTCCCTTGGTAACCTAGGACACTCAAGTGTAGGGGGAGTCTTTAGAGACGAGGAAGGAAAAATTTTAGCTCTATTATTAGGGCCTATAGGAGTGGGTGATTCGTTAAGAGCTGAGGTATTAGCACTGTTACAAGGTCTGAGACTGGTTTAACAAATGGGATTACAACAGATTAAAGTAGAAGGGGGTTCGAGATTAGTAATAGACTAGATAAAATCTGGAAGTTTGGGAATCTGGAACCACAAGCAAGTTATGAGAGAAGTCTGATGCCTTGCAAGGGAATTGGAGCAAACTTCCAATGGGTTAGAAGAACAGCAAATGGGATGGCTGATGTTCTAGCCAAACAAAGATCAAACAAGAGTGAACTTTTCTGGGCTGCTTTGTAGCAGTGGTTATGAATGTGGATGAGCATTTCAGCTTTGGAATGCTGGAGTTGTAATTATCTTGTTTAACTTCTTAATTTCTTAATGAAAGTTACCGAAATTGTTGTAGTTACTGAATTGATCAAATTAGGGGGCAATAAAAAACAGAGCAAAAATTAGGTGGTTTTTCTGTTTCCTTTGCAACATTCTCGCCACCACCGACAGCTTCAATGTTGATGTCGTTGCCATCATTGTTCGGATAGTTTTCCAAAGCTTCGTTGTTGGGGTCAAGCTCGATGGTCTTTTCTGCCATCGGTAGGGACTTCTAGTTGATCAAGTCGAGTAGAGAAAGACTTGAACATCTGCATCATTCTCTCCTTCAGTTTCTCTTTGTTTGCCACCAACCACTTTTTGCAGTTGTGAAATCCGACGTTCAAAACGAGAATTCATTGGCAGCTTTAATACCATTTGTTATGTTCCTAGTTGGATGTATCATCGTCTATTTTGAGGGAGAGGAGAGACCTCTAAAATCTAAATCTATTTTATACTTTTACATACAAAATATATATATATTAAAGGAATGTGGTCAAGTAACAGTCTTTCCTATTCAGACACGTGACATTCCAATTGTTTAGAAAAGAGGATCTCAAAGGTGGGTTAACTCCACTTTCAAATAGAATAACTAACTACCTTAGAAGGAGACTGGATTTGCTCCTCACATAGGGCGTCTCACACGTACATCCTACCATTCATTGGGAGCATCTCCCGTACTTATAAGCTATTATTCATGAGAGATGTTCCCAATGCATGGTGGATGTGCATGTGAGGAGCAGATCCCATTCCCCTTAGAAGTGGTTTATTCAAACACATTCAATCCACTTCCATTCAAACATGTGACTCTCCAATTTTTTTTAGAAAAGAGGATTTCAAAAGTGGTTAATTCCACTTTTAAATAGAATAAATACCTTAGTGGTTTATTCAAACACATTTCAATCCACTTTGAAGTGATACAAACATGGCTATTTATCAAACAAAAAAACGCATAAAAAAAACTCAAAATAAATAATACCAATTAAAGTGAATTGTTATTTACAAATAAGACCTCATTTAGTCTCTTAAATTATATTAAAAATAACATAAATTAATAGTGATTTTCAAACAAAATAGGTCATAATAAATTGCGAATTAAAGACCCATATTAATTTTTCTAATTTTTTATAATTAAATAAATTTCAAACTAAATGATACATAGTTGCTCCGTACTTAGTATGGGATCATTCTCTAGTCCTAATGGATAAGGGAATAATCTTCAATAACAATTTCAAGACTCACCCCTACTGACCTTGGACTTCCCATGACCCACTACAAATACACATCACCCCACTTCACCTACGTGACACACCACGACTCCATTGACTCTATAGCTGACTCAAACATGCCAAAGACTTGTTCTTCACTGGTTTTTCTTATTTGTGTACAACAACCAACCCAACTGACCCCCTAACATGTGGCCCCACCAATGGGCACATAAAACAAACATATTGAAATGCATCATAGCATCATGACTTGATTTTCTTTCAAGCTATATGAACTGACTAACTCTCTCGCTAACAGATTGATGGTTGGAGGAATTGCACCCCTCCAAACATGAGGTTTTTAATTCCATCTTGATCAATATCATCAACATTGCAGAGTTCCAACAACAAGAACATTTAGAAGCCACATTGAACCCTTGATACTTCAGTACTCTTCTCCACTTAAACATGATGACGCATCACTTTCCAATCAAGATATAAAATTTTAACTGTGAGCTTACGATGCCTAAGCCATGGAAACCCACAGAGAAATGAGGTAAGAACAAAAAACATCAACTATACTTCATTAACTCGTACAGGAAAAGGAAACCTATTGGTTCATGAAATAATCCAGTAAACTGTGTGGGAGCCTAAAAGGGAAAAAAAGGAACCCAAGGAATTGTATCTCAACCTAGCAATATAGACAATTCTGTAGCTTGACAAAAAGCACACATTTCACATAGGAAGCAAATATGCCAACCAACTTAGCCATGGACGTCCAATACATTTTACTAAACTGGGCATCTCTCAATGATAAATTTGTCTGTCAACCCCTTTTGGACACCACAAACATCTTTAACAAAGAAATCCTTAGGATCTGTGACATCCAATTACCTTTAGAAATAATGAACTAATTCAGTCAGAAAATTGTTCTTTGTTACAAACTTCATCCCTGATATTCCACAGGATGCAAATTTGCATGCATTAATCAGTTTCAGTAACTAAGTGATAATTGTGTTGTCCAATAATAGCACAGGAAAGAGCAAACCAATTTTGGGATGATCACCTGTGCTCAAAATATTTCCAATGGGCCCTGGTAATCCCGAGCAAGTTGAGGTTTATTTCTGTACAGATATTTATATGTAATATATACAAGTCCAGAAAGAGGCTGATTCCTGGCACCTCTTATGAATTTTCAGATGAAATTCGTTTCTTTCTGAGCAGATATCAGATCAACATTAGATTAAGCTTATTTTCCATTTCCATTGATAATATTACCCAACTTGAGTACATTCTTCTTCTTTTACCCCTTCTGGATGAGGGTGGGGAACTAAGAGCAAACCAATCTGGGACAAGAAAGCACAGACTGGGAGGGCAGCAGTTGGTCAAATATTTCCAGTGACAACTGATGCTCCTCATCAAATTGGGGTCTATTTCGACATAGATAATCATATGTAATGTACATGAGAAAATCTAGAAAAAGACTACTCCCTGATGTCTCTTCTGTATTTTCCGAACCATCCTGCATGTCATGGGCTTGTTTTAGTATCTTACATGTAACATCATCAAAATTAAAGGATACTTGACTCAATTTCTGCCCCCATATCAATGCTCTCCCAGGAAGCCCTTGCTTGCAGAAGTGGGAAAGCAATAAATTAACAGTGACAACATTTGGAACAAATCCCATCTTAAGCAATTTTGTAGTTAAGATCAAAGCATGATCTAGTACATCATTGCAAACACCATTCATCAGGGTGTTGTATGTAACTGTGTTAGGAATAATACCCACAGAAACAAGCTCATCCAATAACATCACAGCACGACTCATCTTATAACTACTACAAAAGCCATGAATACGAATGTTGTAGGTTGTAATATCAGGGTCCCATCCACTGGCACACATCTTATTCACAAAGTCCTCTGCATTAACCATGTCAAAAACCTTGCAATACCCACTGATCAAAGTATTATAAGTAACAATATCTGGTGTCAACCCATCCCTGAACATCTCCATAAAAACATTGTTTGCTGCCTTCATCCTGCCTACTTTGCAAAACCCATTAATAACCATATTGGTAGTAAATATATCAGGGACAAGTCCTCTTTGCCTCATTTCTTTCTCCAACTTTAATGCTTCACTCAACTCCCCACGGTTACAAAACCCACCTATCAAAGAGTTATACGTTAGGTTGTTTGGCACAAATCCTCTACTTTTCATTTCTACAAAGGCCTGACAGGCCTCATCCATATAACCAGCTTTAGAAAGCCCATCTATGAAGGCTGAGAATGCAACAGAATCAGGGGATATCCCTCTTCTTTCCATCTTCTCCCATAAAATCTGGGCCTCTGTAGTATCACCTAGACTAAAATAACTATCTAGGAGGATTGTGTAAGCTATCCTATTGGTGGGAAAACCATTCTCTACCATTTTCTCAAGAAGTTCTTTTGCCTCTTGCAGCCTACCCTTCTTGCACAAACCCATAAGCAGAAGATTACATGTGGAAGATGAGGGGGTCAGACCAAACTCCAACATAACCTGATAGGATTCAAAGGCTTTATGTTCCTGCCCTGCTTTACTATAACCTGCAACGATGGAGTTGAATGCAACTACACTTGGACGTATACCCTTCTCAAGCATATCTAGGAGGTGTTTCATGGCATCATCCAACCGACCAGCCCAACATAGACATGCAATTGAAATATCTGACCATGAATGGTATCGGAGAGATTCTGACATCAGTACATCACCTAACAACCTGTCCCCATCCTCCTCTTTGCTGAACTTGTAGTGCCCAGCAACCAAGATGTTAAATGTTGCACCATCAGGAGCTAAGCCTTTCTCTTTCATTTCTTCATAAAGCAATTTAGCGTGGCCAATCTCTTTGGCCTTCACATACCCATCAATGAGGATGTTGTATGTTCTGGTGTTTGGAAGGATACCTAGATCTTGGACTGCATCAAAGTTTATCCTTGCTTCCTCCATTTTTCCCTCCTTACACAAAGCACCAATGACTGTATTGAAAGTAACAATGTTTGGATTGACACCCATTCCTATCATAAAATGAACCCATGCAAGAGCATCTGAAGATCGACCATTTGTACAACAACCATTAATCACGATGTTATATGTAAAAACATCAGGTTCACATTGGAATTTATGCATCACATGCAATAGACCCTCCCCAATTTGAAGATTCCCTCTTCTACAAAAGCCAAGAACCATAACATTGAAAGTAAAATTAGAAGGACAAGGTCCTTTCCTGACCAAATCCCTGAACAGCTTCCAAACATTATCATAATCACCTCTCCGAAGCAACAGCTTTAAAAGAATATCTATAGCAGACAGACTGGGAATCAATCCTCTTTCCCGCATTCCGCCCAAAATTTCCAATGCATTCGAAACCATACCAACATTCAAAAAAGCCCTCATAAGCGAATCAAGAACTGAGAAATCTGATTCGTAAGAACAATGAGTTCTCCACATAAAATCGATCAAATCCCTACTACGATGAGCTCCAATTCTAGCAAGTACACAAGAAAGAACATCTTGCGCTAGGTATCTGAGATTTTTCGCCGCAAGAAGATGGGCAACAAGACAACAAGATTGAACCGAGCTCTCTGAATCGTTTCGAAACACAAATTTAAAGAAGGCAAGAGCGGATGGGCGATTGCCCAAAAACTGCATGATCTTGACAAGAAAAGAAGCGCAAAAGACTAGAGAAAAACCCTGGAGGTAGAACCCTTCCCCATGTTTGATCATTTTTGACAACCCAACAATGATTTGTCGCCTCTCATTTGAATTAACAACATTGGGAGAACTTGAATCCCTAAAAGGCGAGAACTGATCGAGAAAATCGAAGCTAGTAGAGGTAGACGAAAAGGAGAAGTTTCTTGTTTGGGAAGAAACTAAAGTTGTCGGAGGTCCTCCAAATCTAAACAATGGGGTTTTTGAGAAGTTGGGGGAGACGTCACATACCTTCACAAAGAGGTACGCACGGCGCACCGTAGCAGACATCCGGAGTGGAGAACTGGCTGTTGTACGTCATATTCCGACTGGAGTAGATTGAGTTTCTGCTACAGAGGTCGCCGGCGTTGGCGCCCCTCTTAACAGGCACCACTTGCGCATTGGAGAAGGGTTCCGAAATCCCAAGAACAAAATCGCCAAAATCTATCTCATTGGCGGGAGCGGTTCGACGGTCTGGTTCAGAAAGAGGCTGAAGCCTACAGCCCCTTCAAACGACGGTCTCTTTCGAGGGCTGAACCGTAGACTCAGCTAAACTGGTTCAGCTGCTTTGAAGTCCTCGGTCGGATTAAGCTATTCAAGGAACTGAAGCAGACAGATCCCTATTTGGACTCTCTGGATTTGAAACTGCCTCCTAAAAGTAAGCCCATTGCAAAGGGTCTAAAGTCTAAACATAAATCTGTAATAATTGTGGTGAGAGGGCAATGCAAATTGATGCAAAATTATGGCAGTGCAAATGATTTGAGTGTAAATTTGACCTATTTTACCTTATTTTGTTTCACTATTAGATATGTACGTGCATTTTCATGCGGCATTTCTAAGATAAAACTATTTGTAATTTATGGACATTTTCTCAATAGTTATAAATAGGCAGTTTTTAAAATCTATTTATACTACTTTTAAAAAATACGAATGGCCTCAAGAATATTTCTGGAATTTTCTAAGGACAAAATTTACCCTCTATTTAAATTTGTTGATAAAAAATGAGGGCATATAGGGTAATCGGTTCTTGATATTAAATGAGTTGAAAAGAGGTATTTTAAAGATATTCAATGCATTCAAAGTTCTCTCTCATTAAATCCAACATTTAAGTTATTAACTTGCATTCATGTTCATTGAATCATATATTTAAGTCATTTTTATTTCTTCTCATCATTAAGTTCTATTAGTTAAATCCATACTTAATAAATTAATAATTCCAATAAAATAAAAGCTTATACTTTTAAAATCTACCTAGCAAAAATAGTGTTTTCATCTAAGTGGTGGTAATAAATTAAAGCATTTTGGGTAAATGGGTTAATCCATGTAGCCATGATTAAATAATAAAACTAAAAAATACATAAAATAAAAAAAATAGAAATTAAAAAAATTGGGAACATTTTTAACATACATATTAAACAATAATAAGTATGATAAATAAGAATTGTTTTTATTAATGATGAAAATAGAATGTAAAATTTAAAATCAATATTTTTCTATTCACTCTCATTAAATCCTATATTTAAGATATATTTTTCTCATCATTAAATTCTTGTAATTAAATCCACAATATTAATTTTAATAGTATAAAAATAAATATTTTAAAAATTAGTTTGAAAACAAAATAATTTTCTTCCCTCCCGGTGGTGGGCAAGTAATTCGACCATTTGGGGTCAAATGGATTAATAAATAATGTCATAATTAAATAATAAATTTTTAAAATAAATAATTATGAAATGTAAGAAGTATTTTTATTAATGATGAAAATGGAATGCCAAATTCAAAATCCACTTAGAAATTAAATAATGTCATAGTCAAATAATAAAATTTTTAATATTAGAAAATACAAAGAATCACAAAAATTAAAAAAAAAAGATAGAGAAAATTTTGACACATACCTAATGTTATATATTTATAAAAATAAAATATTGGGTACATCTTTAATACTATACATTCATTATATTGAACAAAAATAAGTTTTATACATAAGAAATAATTTTATCAATGATAGAAATGTAATACAAAATTTAATAACAACATAGAAATCAAACAATTTTTATTTTTAGATGGTGGGTTAGTGGTTTGAATAAAATGATACCATAGACAAACACAAATTAAGTGTGATAAGTAAAAAATATTTTATATAATATAAATGAAATATATAATTTAAAACGGAAATTATAGTCAAAGTTGGTTGTACATTTAAAATTAGGTTGCAGGTTGGTTCAGAAACCAACAAAACTCTGGCAACCGGCTCTACATTTCAAATTATAAAAACCCCTGCCATGTCATCGGAGTCTTATGTGACTATTGCCAACATGGGACTCTTTTTTCATGTTGGACATAGCAAAAAACCAATATTGAAAATAGGATTTCAGTTTTCTCCCACTCCCTCTATCTCTCGATCTCCCTCCCTTCTCTCTCACTCTCACAGTTATCTCTCGATTTCCTGCTCCCTCTATCTCTCCCACTCTTTCAGCTTTGGACTATAGCCAAATCAAAACCTCTCTCTCTCTCTATTGTTATCCCTCAATCTTTTTCATTCTTGTCCCTCACTCTCCCTCTCGGTCAATATCTCATTCTCCCTCAATCTATATCGTTCTCTAGTTGGTGTAAATTTCATATGTAATAATTTTTGAACCTTACCAAGTTGGTCTCATGTTTTTTTATACGATCTGATTAATACCACATAAGTGTGTAAGTAAATAAAAAAATGAGAGAGGGAGTAGGAGAGAAATCGAGGGAGAATGATAGAAATTAAGGGAGAAGGAGAAATCAATTGAGAAAGAGAATGAGAGAGATTGAGGGAGAACAATAGGTAGAGAGAGAGAGAATGAGAGAAATTGAAATAGAGAACGTAAATACAAAAACCATTTTTATTTATTTTCAAATCACATGGTCGTTGAGCAAATAAAGATGATTGTGAGTGTGAGAGAGTGTGAGGGAGATTGAGAGAGAGAGAGAGAGAGAGAGAGAAACTAAAAACTCTTTTTTTTTTCTAATCAACCAACATTAAGGGACAATTTCAGTATAAGTTTTTTGTTGTGTCCAATATAGATTAAGAGTCTCATGTTGGCAATAGCCACATAACCCTCCGGTGACATGGCGAGGGCTTTTATAATTTGAAATGTAGAGCTAGTTGTTAGAGTTTTGTTGGTTTATGAACCAACTTGTAGCCTAATTTTAAATGTATAGCCGGCTCCGACTATAATTTTCCCTAATTTAAAACTAATCCAAAAGCAATGCCATTTTCTTATATAAATGGTAGGTCAATGATCAAACTTTTCAAAGAAACCCATGTTGTCATAATTGAAAAATAAATATTTAAGTTTATTTTTAATCGTATTGTTACTTTTGTTAATTTTCAATTTCTATCTTAATTATGATATATCTAAAATTCATGTAATTAATATGAAGAAAAATTTCTCACGCGCAACGCATGTGCTTAATTACTAGTGAGAGTAAAGAACATAAATGCCCTTTTTATGCCAATTGTATGTTTAGAAAAGAGAGATAGAAAGCGCCCAATGAAAATTCCAAAAAGAATGGGCATTCACTCTTTTATAAGTAGTATAGATTAAAGTACAAATGAAATAAATTAAGACATGAAGCAGAATAAAGTAAAACTTAAAACAAGATTAAACAAAAATTTGCAATACAAATTTATTTACATTGATACAAAACTATGATGGTGCAAATGATTTTGATGTAAATTATGATTTATTTTTATTTCAAATTTTACTTTATTTTGTTTCATTACAATAAAACAAGACTTGAATTGTGTTGCTCACTAAGATTGATTTTTCTATAATATTATTAATTTGATTTTGAAACATATGAGGGGGTGATTTTTCTATGAATGTTGGCCCTCTACTTTCTTATTTAGTACTAGATAGTCACTCCCTAGTTATCATAAAAAAATAGGAGAGGTGATTTCATTATGGCTTAGGCAGTTAATCTAGAAGTGGATACCCCTAAAATAATTGAAGGAAAGAATTCACTTTGTGCTGGAATTAGGAATCTGGGCTATTACTCTCGATGAAGATGTGCAGAAGATTGAGGATATCCTGTTGAAACTCCCGTGGTTCCTTAGCAAATTCATCGCCGACTATAGGAGTCTCATGCAATAACTAACTCTCCTAAACATCTCATTCATTTACTATATAGGTAATGAAGCCTACACATATTGTAGCAAGAAATTCCTATATGTTATCTCAACCATTTACTTGGCTAGTGATACCAAATTTTTTGATACTTGTACTATTGAATGATTATGGCAATGAAGCGCCTCCAATTTTCAAAGAGAGAGAAGTTGTTATTAATGTTTATCTTGAATATGGCCCAATTTTCAATGTTTTCAAAAACATTGAACATGGCCCAACTTTCAATTATACTGTAGACCTTGGAGATATATGGGCAAAACTGAAAAGTTGCACTTAACCGAATTGAACTGTGGGCCTTTTTTTGTAACCGAATTGGTACTACCATTTTTTGGAAAACTAGTAACCAAAACCAATCAGTTAATAGGTTGACCATTTTGGTTCGTCGGTTTTCAATTTTTTAATTTTTATAATATATACTATAAAATTATATATAAATATATAATAAAAAATTATAAATATATATAAATATTATATTTTAAATAATAAATAATATGCCATATATTATAAATATATATTTATATATAATATATAAAAATATAAAATATATATAATATAATATACATAAATATATATAAAATATATGGAAATATATGTATACTAGTCAGTTCGGTGAATCGATTTTTTGGTTTGGTTTTGATCAGTTTTTTTGGTTGGTTCAATTTTTCATTTTTTTTTTGGCTCACCCCTACTTAACCCCATACTAGATAATGATATGGCACTAGTTTTTGAATTATGTTGCTTTTGATATGCTAGCCAATAGGATCCTCTAAATATCAAATATTTGGGTATGTTTGAGTAATTTGGAACATTACTTTAGTGGGTGATCATTGTGATAAGATTAACTACTTTGTTAAACAAAGAAAATATTCAAGTTTAAACTCCCTCTAATGGAAACCTAAAATTGTCAATAGTGGATTTCAACATGTTTTTGAAATAATTTTATAAAATGTATTTATATTTATAGTAAGCTATTTTATGAAAAAATGTTTGTAAAAGTTTTAATCTTATGATCCATTTACATATAAAAGTGTGAGATTACATTTAGCAGTCATGAAATAGGTCATTCCTTGTAAGTAGTTGATGAAGCACAAAATATGCCCACCAATAGATAAAGCACAAAATCTATTCACTCCCTCATGTCTGGTAAGGTGGCTCGGGCTGGGTTCAATCTTTGGTAAGCCGAGCTAAGAGTTGCGGAAATGAAAGAGAGGTTAGAGTGCCTGGGTAAATTTTACCCAGGAGGACACTCCGATGCTTAAGTTAGTGGGTAGTTCTCCTAGAGAAATTGAAAAAGAGTGAGAGCTTATGTGCGCATACCTTTTAGAGTGTCCCTGGGTTCTTTTTATAGTTATTAGGTGTCCAGGTGTCATTGATCAACGTCTTTGAGTTTTCTGCGGAGTTGTTTTCGTAGTTTAAGGGAGTGTTGGGCTGTTAGTTGCTAAATTCATGCAGCAGTTACAAGTCGCCTACTGGTCCCATGGCACGCGG